TAACCAACTGAGCCACCCAGGCGCCCAAAAACAGATTTTATTATCTTGAAAAGAAACAAAAACCATGAAAATAAGTTTGTAGCTCATTAATTGTGGTTATAAAACTACGTGCTATTATTAAAATAATCAAGGGATGAATTGTCTCCCACAAACTGGCTATGACATCCTTTATTTCATGCTTAACCTTCACCCAAGATCATAAAGATGATTTGTGCTCCTGTTCCAAGAACCACTTTTCTCAAGGACCTCTTTTAATCCTTTGATACTCAAATGATTGTTTTCCAGTGCCAGGCCCACCACCATTCCTGACTAAGGGGCCCCGGGCCAGGTCCTCACTTGTTAATGGCTATGTGTGAGATTCCAGCCCTTCTCTGACTCACTTTTCCCAAGGTCACACCATCCTGCATCTTTTGCAAGGTTTGCAATTTCACTTTGCGACACATTTGGCCTTGGGATTGCTTGGCATTATCAAACCCTGACTGGTAAATTCACTGATAGATGGGGAGGCAGGGCTGCCTGTAGGAAGAAGGGAAGGCTGTTGGAGTGGGGACTCGTTTGGCAAGCAGTCATTTCATTAGTGAATCTATTCATGACTTGACAACCTTCCCTGTGCAATCTAGTGACTGCATACTCTAAACACTCCAAAATAAGCCTGTCCTATAAAGAAAATCAGACTCCACTGACCTGGAAATGTCTTGTTTGAATGACACTGAGAATCACAGATTATTGGAGGTTGCTTTTAGAGACCATCAATGCTGACACATGGGGACACTAAGGCCCAGAGAGGGGAAGGAACCTATCTGAGGTCACACAGCAAATCTGGGATAGAACCTGGTTTGGATTTCAGATCTCCAGAGCCCTTTTCCACCCACAGTTAATCTCCAGAGCCCTTTTCCACCCACCCTAAAGGGGTTTAGTGGGGGACACACACTCTAATAGATAAGGAGGAAGGGGCTCTATTTATGGGATAAGAATATGATTAACTTTGCTATATCAGCTGTAATTTGTTGGCTGTTATGTGGCTCTCAACAACTCAGTGAGGTAGGTGCTGTTATAAAATCACCAATCCAGGGTGGTGCGGTCGGTTGAGTGTCTGACTCGTGGTTTCTGCTCATGTCGAGGGTCTCAGGGTTGTGAGACTGAGCCCCACATCGGGCTCCGCACTCAACGCAGAATCTACTTGAGATTCTCTCTCCCTCTACCCTCCTGCTCGTGCTCTCTCTCTCTCTCAAATAAATAAATAAATCTTTATAAAATTCCTATTTTACAGATCAGGCAACTGAGGCTTAGAATGGTGAAGTCCTGTGCCCGAGATTACAAAAGTGGTCTGGATTTACTACTTTCCTTTTCTGGGTTAGAACACCCTTACCCTCTCTTTTCCAGGACTCCATAAAACCAGCACCAATCCTTTCAGTGGGCGCCATGCTTTACTGTGTGCAAAGCATCTTCACCATCCTACAGCCCCTTTGCATCCTCACAACAGCCCCTCTGGGGGCAGACAGGACTGAGGGATCAGAGGCCCAGACAGGTGAAGTCACAGCCCAAGATTACACAGTAAGACACAGAACCCAGAATCATCCATTTGTAGTCATCTATTCAGTTAGGCAAAGGGAAACCCGTGTGGGGCCTTTTTAAGGTTCACGGCGAGTCCTCTGGGGTCAGAGCGTCAACTCCTAGCTCCTTAGCCTCCTGGATGTGTGACCTTAGGCAAGTTACTTTACCTCTCTGGACCTCAGTTAACAAATAGGGATCAAATGGGGATGCTGATGTAAAACAAGTCAGTTTTTAACAGAATGACCTAGTATGGGTCAGAGAGGCAATACAGGGCCTGGCACATGGTAAGTACTTGATAAATGGGTGCTGTGGGGGCACTGAAGCTCCCCTCTGCACCTGTATACAGCCCAAGGACAGGGGTAAAGAGTACCTGCAGCAGAGGCTGGGGTGACTCGTGGATAGAGATGATGTGTGTGATCTTGTTCCGGCCCAACTGGTCCGGGTCTTTGGCATCTGAAAGAAACAAAATGCCTGAGCCCATCTGGTCAGTGAGAGTTACGTGTCCCTGTCGGCCAAGAGAGGTGGGAGCTCGCTGCCCAGCTCCCCTCCCCACCCCTCCCTCTCCACTTTGGCCCACCCTCTGCCAGCTTCCCGCTCCTTGGCCACCTCCTGCTCCTGGCCTGACAGGTCCCACCACACCTCTAGGCTTCAGTCTTGGCGCTGGGGCACCCACAAGTAACAGCCCAGCCTCTTCCCGGCCTTGCCCCTGCAGTTCCTTCCACGGCAAACACCCTTTCCTGGCATATCCTTGATCTAGCAACTCTACTTCCGGGAATCCTGTCTACAGAAGGGTTTGCTCACTCAGAAAGCTGTGTGTAGAAGATGATGTTCTTTGCAGTACTGCTCGTAACAGTAAACACACCAGAAATTGTTAAAAAGTGGGAGCAATCTACACGTCCACCCTGAGAGAACTGGATAAATAATGGTATATCCATACTTGAATACCGTGCAGCCATTGGATAGAAAAGACCTCTCTGTGCTGATGTGCAAGCATGTCCACAGTATATTATCAAATAGGAAACAGGTGACTGGATGGCCTGCAGAATAGACTTCCATTTTTGTTTTAAATGTTACATCTGCATCTACAAAGATATATGAAAACTGACACAGGGATAAACCTCACACTTCTATCGGTGGCTGTCTCCAGGGGCTGGAATCCAGTGTATGTGGATCTTTTAGAATCAGAATAAATAACACATATCCCCTCTCTCTCCATAGGTCTACTTCATTCAACACGTTTCCTGTGTGCTTACTATGTGCAGCCTTGGCTGGGCATGGAGGTGTAGGGGCAACTTCATACCCCTTGCCCTCATGGGGTTGCAGACTTCAAGAGCATCCAGAGCTTCCTTGGCTCAATACTCAAAAATCAAGTAGCATGAACGGCTGGGGTGGCTCCCAGGGAGGAGGAGATCCGATTTATGGGAGTGGAGCACCTATGCCAGGGCGGGGTGGGGGGGGGAGGGGGCAGGCATGGATGGAGAAAGCCCTGTCCTGGTGCAGATGCCCCTTCCTCTCTGAAGATTTCTCTGACTCCACATGGAAAAGTGTGGAGTCTCAGGATCAGCCGGTCTCAGCACAGGCCAGGCACAGGTAGAGGGCCGTGGCCTTGGGACAGAGTGGGTGGTGCTCACTAACAAGTTTCTGGGGTAGAGTCCAGTCTCCAGAGATCTCCCCTCTGTGTAGAAGGTTGTAGGGGGAAGGTTCCCAGCTTCCCAGCTAGAAGCAGCACCCTCGAACAGACCTCAACCCAGAACCTCAGGGCTGTAAGAGCCCTTAGAGGTGAGTGGGCCTCGTGCTGAGGGAGAGCCTGGGGCTCAGAGCAGGTGCAGACTTGCCTGGCATCTGGCAGGTGTTGCAAGCCCTTTGCACTGGGGACACTCCCCACCCACATATCCCTTAGTCCTCATGAGCTCCTTCTCCCTCCCAGCCTGGCCTTGCTTCCCTGCCCCCAGCCCCATTCCTGAGCGCTTCCAAGGTGCGTGGGCCAGAGCATGAATGGTGGACACAGGCCTGGGACAGGCAGAGTGCCATGGCCTTGGGACAGAGTGGGCAGTGCTCACCAATGAAGTTTCCGAGGTAGAGTCCAGGAAGTACCTACAGGAGAGACAGGCTAGGGTCAGTGGGGTAGGGGTGCACGCCTTCCCACTGGCTAGCTGGGGGCCCACAACCCATCTCCATCCCATGACAGGTGTCTGGACCCCAGGACTCAGGGAGCAATCTCCTCCCCCTCCTGGGCCTGGACTCTGTGAGAGGGGCTGGGGAGGGCAGGAGGGAGGGCACCAGGGGAGGCCAGCTTGGGTAGGGGTGAGAGCTTGAAAGGGGGAGGAGAGGGGGAACATAGGGGAGGGGGGCAAGGGGAGAGGTGAATTTGCCAGGTGGGTGGTGGGGAATTCTGAGGAGGGAGGTGGGAAGGCAGGGACAGGGGGAGGGTCACGCAGAGGCAGAGGGGTAAAGATGGAGAAACAGCACCAGAGAGAGAGTCCAAGGAGTCAGAGACAAGGAAGACAGAGACACCTGGAGACAGGGAAAGGGACTCAGAGAGATAGAGTGTGGGAGTGACAGAGAGCCACAGAAAGACCCAACCAGAAATACAGAGTCACAGAAACAGGCAGAGACAGCGACACACGGAGACCGAAGCCAGAGACACACAGAGAGACAGAGACGAGAGCAGAGAGACACAGGGATGCAGGGTCAGAGAGTCACCGGGAGACAGAGATCTAGACACACGGAGCCTCAGGGTGAGGGCCAGAAGGTCAGAGGCGGGCACAGCGACGCAGGCGGAGCCGGCACCGCGGCGGGGCTGGGGGCGGCCAGGTGCGGGCTGCGCCATCCCCGCCCCCCTACCTTGGTCATGCCATTCCCCATGATCCCGGGGGCGGGGGTCCGGGCGCACCCCCAGCTCGCCGCCCGGAGAGCGCTCGGGTCGCAGCTGCCCTGCTGGCCCAGGCCCGGCGCCTGCAG